TAATCAAGATGGCGCAGACAAATCAACTTCCGGTGATACCGAGACCGAGGAGCGAGGAAATGAAAAATAAGAGAAGTGAAACGCACCCTGAGTCATACCATTAGTGAGAGAGAGAGGAGAGAGAGAGAGAGAGAGAGATAGAGAGACGGAGGAGAGAGAGGAGAGGGACGACCCGAGGAGAGAGAAGAGGAGAGGAGAGGACGGAGAAGAGCAGAGAGAGAGAGAGAGGAGAGCAGAGAGAGAGGAGAGAGACGAGAGAGAGATGAGGAGAGGAGAGAGAGAGAGAGAGAGAGAGAGAGAGAGAGAGAGAGAGAGAGAGAGAGAGTCCAATATAAAAAGACAAGATAGCACAGGTTATTATTCCGTATCAGTTGAAAGCAAGTGCTTCATAATTAGCTCTCTTTAAGATAACGTTTCTTTAGGAAGAAGGCTACCTTGTGTTCTTTTACATAAAGGAGCAAAGATGTGATGACACGTCTTCAGATTTAAAAACGCTTTAATTCAAAGAGATCATATGCTCATTTTCAGTTTCATATTTTGTGCTTTTACCGTGTCATGTTTACGTGCTTTAATGTTCATAAAATGCTTAATTTTACTCAAACTGCCTGTGCTGCAGCACCTCTTTTCACCCTCTGTCTGAAACCAGAGCCCAGTCTACTCTGATTGGTTAGCTGGCCAAAACAGTTGGGACTGGTCAACCACATATAATTAGTCCCCTTAGCCTATCAAGTACAATGTGTTAGATCTCTAGCCAATAGAAGAGCAAGTGTTACATAGTGATGTCATCATGTTACAGAAGGAGGAAAGGAGTCTAATCTAGGAATTCCAAGCAGAGGGGGAGAGAAACTCCCTCTGAAGGGAACTTTGGGATGTTAGCCTTAGCAGACCATTAACATGCACAAAAAACATATATAACACACAACTACAGGAAAGGGAAAACCCCAAAAAGCACAATGAGCCCCTCTAAACTATCCTTGACGGCATCTAGACTGCTAGAGATGCACCAATTGGAAGGATGGCAGTTGATTGGCCGATTTGTCTCATATATATCCTATTTACTGACATTACCATTTAAATGATGATTGTTTAGCCTACTTGTTCTCCTATGTATGTCTGAGTGGTACACCTTATGCTGAGTAACTAACCTTGTTCTGTAAAACTGCCTTTTTTAATGCCACTGGTCCAAGATGAGAATCCTGACTATATGAACTTGTTTTTACCATTACTCAACTACCTCGGGGGTCTGAACAGAGCACCGACGAACACAGGCAATTAAACAATTCCAAAGGTTGATTCAAGTCAATCATTAAAAAGATGCACAGAAAACCCAAGGAGTTACAAAAAAAAACAGATGTTAAAAAAACAATTAGGGAGAAAGTTTTTTTTTTTTAAGCAACAAAATTAGAAAACAATTCAGTTAAGGACAACTAGATTCTTACGGTTGAGTTAAGGGAAGGGAGAAATCTCAAAGGAAGTTGTTGATGCTGAATTCTGACTACAAACATGAAGCAGCACCAATAAGCTTCATACTACTTTTGTTTTAATATTTATTTAGTCCCGAATGGCTCAGTTGGCCCGTCCATGAATCTGCATTTGGCAATGGGTAAATTCAGGTTGAATTTATGTATAATATTTAGCACAAAAACAAGTTTATCTCAGGGGGGCTTCAACACTGTCAATTTGATAGACTCTCAATCCAAATTTAAAATAATTCCATTTAAAAAAGCAACACAAGACGGATGCCTCGTTTGTAATTTACCGAGTAGACACAAGTAGATGTCGTTGAATGATATCATAATGTAAGAGCAATGGAATATCAATCCATTAAGATGTATGCTACAAAGTCCAGAGAACATTACATTAGCCTTTGTTGGTGTTTAATTTAGTTACGCACATTTTGAGCTGTGATACCTTGCAAGTAATGAGGGGAACCTTTCTAGCACTGGTTTTAAAGTATGCAAGAAAAAACTCAATTAGGCTTCCAAAAAGGTCTGAGGACTAGTATGAATTGAATAAATACTGTGCATGTTCCATAGAGATGTATATTGGATGGTTTTACAAAAAGCAAATGCTACTTTGGAAAACATAGAATAGTGTCTTAGGATTATAAAGTTTTCAGAATACTTTTCGGCCAATCGGTTAAATACAGGTGGACAAGTAAAAAGGTTAACAGACACAATTAATCATAAAGAATATTCCTGTCCTAAAAGATGTATTATATGGCAGATATATAACAAAACAAGTCAGCAGTGGTTTGTAGGGAAAAACACAAAAAAAGGGGATCAATCTTCCAAATTGTTGTAAATTATTATTATTATTACATTTTTTATTTGTTTATTTGTTGTTCAAGCATACAGGTACATAACTAAATATACATTTATTTATTTGTATGTATTATTTATAATTCTTTACATTTCTTGTATGTATTTTTTAAAATGTATTTATATATATATGTATTTATTAGAAAGAAATTACATTTTGTAACGTGTTGAATCTTAACATAGAGAATTCAAAAACCAACAAAGAATCATTATTTGTTATGATTTTTATATTGAATAGCTTCATTATATAATGTGTTATGTGTCGAATAAGGCAACTTCCCAAAGTGAATTGTACATATAAAAGTGATGTATTTCTTGTACCAACTTCCATAACAACCAAGAAAGAAATGTACACGCAACCAACCCAGTCTTAAAACGCTGCTGCACGAACACAACCTCAAACCTCAGTCCTACCAGAGTCTTTTGAGCGGGACCTCTGCGTAACCTAAGAAGGAAATGAGCGTGTGAAGCGCCCGAGTGTGCTCGGGACTGTCAAAGAGCCGCAATCTCAGCCAGTAATAGGCCCATTATTAGGTGGGACCGACCAGAGTCAACGGAGGATGAAACGGAGCGACCAATCGGGATAAATAAGTGGCGGAAGAGCCAAATCGGCAACTGGGGCATCACAACACATCCAAGAGTCCATTCCCCCCCCCCTCCTCTCACGCCTTCCTCCATTCCTCTTGTGGGGTGCCCTCCCCTCCTCTTCCATCACAAACACTCTCCCCTCCCTCCCCCCCCCCCGATGTCCCTCCCTGTCTTTTTGCCTTTGAAGATGCTTTGTTTTCCAACTTGCCTCCAATCTTCAAACAGAGTGATCTAATAATGGCCGTAAGAGTTTGTATGCAGGCAACTTTTCCGTGCACCATGTGCGTAATGCCTCCTGCACATGTCAAACTGTACACATGTGTGTGTGAGTGTGTGTGTGTGTGTGTGTGTACATGCATGCCCCGTGATGAAAACATGAATGTTGATGCTCCCACATGCGTTGCCCTGGGTGTCGTTTGGATGTCAAGCTGAGTCCCCGCTGCGTCTGTCTGAGATGGGTGCGGGGACCCCGCGTGTGGGCGTGCACGAGTATGTGTGTCAGCATGATGGCTGGTACAGTCAACACACACAGACAGCTGGATACCAGCCACCTCCAGAGGGAAAAGGAGGCAAAAAGAAAGAGCAAGATGTAGAACAAAGACTCAAAGACACGTCAGTGTTAACTTGATGTACCACATTCAAAACTCCTACAGTCCACAAAATACACAGCAGAGGAATCGGGATGAAAGCTATGACGTTGCTCAGATTTAACCTGCAAAATGTACTCCAAGCGTGACGCTGGGAACCACATGAAAGGGAAGATAAAAAGGTTTTTTTGGCTCAGAAACATTATTTTCACCTCTCAACTGCTTATTAGAAAGCCATCCTAAAATACTCCTCTTTCTCTAACTACCATGTAGGACATGTTCATGCATGACAGAACATTTGTGCATGATATCCAGAGACCGAAACAAACTATTTACAAACTCCCCTGTCTGTTCATCCTTCATATATACAAACAAATGTATCCATTAGAGTGAAAAGATTGCCTTTTAGAGGGGGAGACCTTGACAACGAGCTAATACGACTTCTCATATCCACCCCCCCCACCCTCCTTCTTCGCCTCCCTTCCCTTGAAAGAATTCGGTGCAGCGGCCACAGCGGCCACAGCGGCTAGGGCCCATTTGGATAGTAAAAAACTCTCGTAAGCCAGAGACCTAATTGAATTGCTTCTGATGGAAAGAGGAGCTCGATACCCTTTTACGGGTCTGAGTAAAGATGGAGGGAAGAGGAAAGGGCACGAAGGGTAGAGACGGAGAGAAAGTGAGAGGGCGGGGGGTGATGACGAGGAGGAGGATAATCGAGATGGACAGATAAGGAGGGAGGGAGAGAGGAAACAAAGAGAGGAGATGACAAAAATAGAGGGGGGGTGCGGTAATGATGGAGATAGATGAAGGCGTGGTGGGGGAGATGGGGAGAGGACACAACAGCACAGACGGAGAAGTACTGATTGTTTTATCCACTTATCAGATGCTTTTTCGTTGTCTTCAGAGGGCTAAATGAGCTAAATGTCGCACATAGCAACCGTGTGCGAGTAACTGATCAGTCACTAATGTAGCTGACTAACGGATTCCTCGATAACAGAGGTGGCCTTGGCTCGCACAAGCTCCTTGAACACATCACATGCTGCCCACACACCCTCTGGCATACAAGCTTCTTCTTCAAATAAAACAATAAATGATGTCCCTGCATGAACACCATGTCAGGCACACACACACACACACAACCCAAAGTCTGGCCCGTGGCATTAAGGCCATGCTGCCACATCTAATAAACTCTCAGGATGGACTCAGTAGGCCATGTCCACTTCGCTCTGCTTAGGCAGCATCTGTCTTAAGCCCGATTTTCCGCACGTCTGTCGTGTCCCGGGATGCATAATCTGTGACTTCTTATGGCTCTTTCAATTTGTCGTAATTAACTGCCATTGATTTCCGTTTTGTCTGCAAGGAGCCGTTTCTGTTCCATATTCAACACCGAACGCAACGGACAGGTGCTGTTGCTTTAACAATGACATCTTTTAGGTGACCTGGTCTGAGAGAAGAAGGGTGGGGGGTGGGGGGTGTTGGGTGTGAGGGTGTTGGCGTCTCTCACCAGAATCCTGTCCTCTGTCTTGCCGCTCCGGGTGTCCTGCTTGATGGCTCGCACAAACTTAATGGCCTGCTTGTCCAGCACCTTCCTGATGCCCTCTGGAGAAATGAGCAGAGGGGGGAAAACCGTAAAACAGGAGAGCAGGTTACATGATGTAAACCCATTGCAGAATGAGATGTGCTGCCCTGAAATGCACAAAACTGTAGAAAGATGGAAATACAATACATTTGAATATGCAGCTGGGTGACATACGAGAGGAAAACACATGAATACAAGGAGTTAGCAATAATAGAATGTATCTTTGATGTCCTGATGATGCTAATTATGATTTGTTAACCAAAGACTGTATACAAGAGGTGGGTGTTACCCAGTGGTCTTTGTGTTAGGGATTTAACAAATAAAGTAAATACAAATCAAATAGAATAGAAATAGTGCAAGGAGAGTCTTTATACAAGTCATTGGAATATGATATAAAAGCACACGACGAAAAGTAAACAAACACTGAAATAATACGAAAAGAACGCAGAGTTGGAAAGGAGCCAAAGACACGGCAGCCATCATCACCGGCGCCATCTTGGTTTTTTGCCGTCGCCTTTATGATATTTTGGGAACCAGAAGTGAAATGATAGGGTGGAGAAAGAAACATATGTAGGTTACCAAGATGTTACAGTGAACTTTCATGAACTCAAAATACATTCTAACAAAGCATAAACATAAATCAGTTTAAAAGGATGTACAAAAACACTTTGATGGAAAGATATAGTGATAGGTGATCTAAGATGAGAAATCATTATAAATGTAATATATATTTTTTTAATATAAAATATGATAGCAGTTATTTATAACAGCCGAAATGATTGAACGGACCATCAGCAGTTGAGTAAGGGATGGGAATTGATAAGAATTTTCTTCCTCCTGCTCCTTTTCGGACACTATTATAATTATTTTGTTAAATATATATTTTTTAAATATATAATTATTGTTGAATATATAAATACTATTTGACAATTTATCAAAATTAAATTAAAATACTGTGCTGTAGGGCTGCTCGATTATGGCAAAAATCATAATCTCGATTATTTGGGTCAATAATTGATATCACGATTATTAAAACCGATTATCCATTTACTTTGAAAACATCCATTTATTGAAAAAGAAAATGTGAACAGTATGTTTTTAACAGTTGATTACCCTGAACTTTAAGTATAATTCAACTGAAAAACCAATAAAAAAATTAAATTAAAAATAATCGTGTTGTTTTCATAATCGTTGCAAGCCAAAATCGTAATTGTGATTAAAATACGATTAATTGAGCAGCCCTACTGTGCTGTACCAATATGGTATTCTGTTTAATATTTTTTTTTTTTTTATCTGTTTGAAATAAAGATGCAAATGAAAATAAAACACGACACCACCTAAAACATGTTAGCAACTTGCCAATCACAAGGGAGCCACGCCATCAATCATACCCTGCTTTGTCGTCTGTTTTACTGCAATCGTGACCTTTATTTGATAAATGAACACCATGCTGCCTGAAGACTTGAAACCAGTGATTGAGAACATAAACTAACTAGGAAAATGTGTGCTGTCACAATACCAAAAATGTAGCTGATACTACAGCTCAAAAACAAAACAATAAATCATGTGTTCTTCCAACATACAATCCATTATTACCATTTGCATGCTGGATTTTGTTTTAGGAAGTTAAACAAATAATAATGGACATTATTTTATATTGCTGGGAAAATTCTCCGGTACCGTTAGCTGTTAGCTCAGTTTTTCTAGCCAAACAGAACTGTGTTGCTCACTGCTAAAAGCTAACGTCAATTAGCTTTCCTCTTGTCCATTTGTTCACAATGTAGCTATATTCTTCCTCAAACACATTTTCAACCGTCCCCAGGCAACAGTAGTTTGAGCCCTAAAAGGTACAACAAAATACTACGGTTCCTACGTTACTGTCAAACACCAAGTGCCTGGAAGGAAATGAGACATTACCAATCCAATAAAAGGGCTCTCTAATAATATCTCATGGTATGTATCCACTTAGTTAATTCCTCTGTGTAAGGTCACATGAGGACATAATACACATCACTTAAGTATAACAGGAAGTTAGTAACTCCTATTCAAAGAGAAGGAATATGAATGCAGATGCTCCCAGGGTATGAGGGGGCATTGAACGGTTTGATGTGTATTAAAATGACATCAAGCCTATGAAACAACCTTTACAAATCACCACATTACAACCCTAAGGAACTCCTTTGGGAGATGTTGGGTGTTTAGTGTCAGAGAGGGCTCTCCACCTTCAATCAATTCACCAAGAATGGTTGGATTTCATATTTGGTTTTCAAAAATGTATGTGGTAAGTTCAACATGGAAAATAAATCCTTGTAATGAACAGCTAATTGAACATTTTTAATTATTAAAAACTATTTTGTATTTTTTCAATAACTAATTCATCATTTGAGTAAAAAGCAAATGTTACTGGCATCAGCCTTTCACATATAAACATTGGCTGGTTTGCTGGCTTCTTGCTTTATATGTTAGCAATATTATCTCAATGTTATGTTATCTCAAAAAGGTCATAAACAAAACAATTAAGCAGTAATCAAGAGACTTAAGACAATAATTGTCACCCATCTCTTAGGAATATTTAGTTACTGAAGACAATAAAGATTTAGGTGGATGGAGATAAAGATGGGAGCTTACGCGTAATAGAACCATTAAAATCTGCTTCTTACCACATTAACAGAAACACATTTACGATTTAACACACATAACATTTAAAAAACCAACAATCACAGGCTGATTTGCACTGTGGGTAATGTAACCCATAAGAATATAAAAATAGATTTCTCCTGTTTTGCTGCATCAGTTGTATCCTTTTGTTTAAAAAGCATTTACTGTCCAGTGTGAGTGACAATGCTGTGGCAGTGCAAAGCTAAATTGGGGGATTTACTCTTTAAAACAAGCTATGCTAGGGTGCTTTGAAGCCATTCTGGAAGTGCATGCCAATGACATTTTTTTTCTTACAATTTGTTACGCATCTTCACAAAGTGCCATTACAGTCACTTTCCGTAGCAAAGTAAGCAGAGTGTTAACATTTGATTATGGACACTTTTTGGACCTGCTCCTATGGAAATGAATCAGTGGTTGTCGACGCTAATGACGCTGCTGTCTTGTTTCTGCTTTGTCTCTGAGTTTAGGGACACACTGGTGGATTGTTCCTTCAATGAAAGCTGCACAGGGTTGAATAATCACAGAGACCAGTAGACAGCTACAAAGACACAAACTTGAGGACAAACACACGCACACACACACACAAGCTCCAGCTGAAGAAGACTCATAACTGGGCTATTTTTAGCCTCAGAGAAAAGAAAGCAGCCCGGCTCATTTCAATGGAACAGACCACAAGATACAGAGCTGCAATCTTTAGGGGCCTCCACACCACCCCCCCCGACACATGGCCCTGCTGAAGCTCACTGAACTGCACCGGAGGCCTCCTCCATCTGCACCTCCTCCACAACCACCGAGACAAAACAACCTGCTATTCACAGACACAATGTCAACGTATATCCCCGGCCTGCAAAAGCGCACATATGCCCGCAAGCTGTGGGATATTCACGGTCCACATTTCGAGCGGGGGGGCCCCTCTGCTAATACGAGTGGAGCAGATGGAGATGCAGCGCTGTGTCACTATCTCCCAGCTCTCTTACAGTGCTGCATGATTCTCACTTTTCCACATCCGGCAACAGCCATGAACTTGGCTCTGGCACTTGAGTGAGCAGGAGCCAATGCAGGGAGGATGTGGGTGGGGGGGGGTAGAGCACGAAGGAAGGATCAGCGGAAGACAAACAGAGAGATATTGACGTTAAGCTGGGTAAGACCCAATCACTTAAACCCCTTTTAACACACTCTGAGGTGCCCCTGAGGTATGGTGGTGTGACCCTGCAATCTGCTCCCAAAGGGGTGAAGATAATGGAAATGGAGGATTCGAATGAAACCCTCTTTATTTGTCACACACATGTACACAGCAGAGGACATACTTTCGGGGACTTGAACCAGCGACCCTTTGGTTCCCAAGCCAAGACCCTACAGCCCCCCTTTCATATCAATTCCTTGTCATATCCCCACTTCCTTTCTTGACACTTTGATGGATCTGCTCACTAACACCTCCACCCCCATCTTGTCCTCCACTGGCAGGTGTGATAATGGCTTAAAGCTGGCCAGACAGACGGGGCTTGACCAGGGTTGAGCTGGTAAACAGCGGGATTTAACTCACCGCGTCTGGATAATTAGCAGTGAGGGACACACACCTTCTGTAACACCACAACATCCAAACATGGTGTGTGTGTGTGTGTGTGTGTGTTGTCCAAGAGAGGCTCAGTGTGTGTGTGTGCAGCTGAGCCCATGCTGCCTGCTGCACGCAAATCGCTCCCGGTCGCACAATAACTCCCACGCATGCAGGGGGAAAAGAAAGAGATGAAAACTCCTAATGAAGCTACGTGACGCGAACACAAGCACGGCAACACTTGAACATAACTCTACATGACAGCACTAGCAGGACCCCCCTGAGTGAGATACATTCCACAGAGGATCTTTACGTCAAAATCAATCGCAAAGTGAACACCGCCGCTCCGAGATCGATGGGATTACAAGCTCCACGAACAGCCATTAACTCTGGTTTTGCCCTGGAAGACATTTCCTGCAGTAATAACTCCTTTTTTTGTTGTTATCAAGCGCAGCGAAAAGCAGATTTAAAAGCATCTGAGGGAAGATAAACTATCCCCATGTGGCCTGAAAGACGTCCTCCGTGTCTTCTTCGCTTCTTAAGTAAAGGTTAAAACGTACTTTCCCGAAGAGAAACTCGTGTTTTCGTGCTCACCTGTGATCTCCCTGCTGACGTTCACGAAGCCCGTGGCTGTTGTGTCCTTTGAGGCCATGGTGCGCTCCTCCAGCCGGTCCAGCCCCTACTCCGTCCTCCGCTTGTTTATGTCCCCTGCGTACTTCTTCGCCCCTTTTTTTGGTAGCTCCCTCCGCCTGCAGGTGCTCCGGGAGCAGCAACAGTCCGGACGGTGTGGTGCGAAGCGATACTGTGGTGCGCACTGGCTAAAATACCCGAGGAGCGCCTCCGACTTCAGCGCACATGCGAGAGAGGGAGGGATGGAGGGAGGGAGGGGGAGGGATGGAGAGAGAGAAAGAGAGCGAGAAAGAGAGTGAGATATATGAGTTGGATAAGGGTTGGGAGGTTGTATTTTCTTTCTTCGATTAGTTGTTAAATGTGAAATTACTCGGCATGCTGCAAATGAAGCTGCTGGAAGGAATCATTTTAGACTTGAAATTAAATGGTATCGAAATAAATCCTATTATATAAAATCAAATGGTATTTGCTTTGATATGTAGGCTAGTATTGGTTTTAGTAGTTCAAACTAAAATGAATATTCTAAATGTGAACATTTAATGTTTTTTTACTCTATTAAAGTAAACTAGAGAGTTGTTGACAAACTACATTTAAGGACGTATAATGTCAAGCATTCATAAACATTTTTCACCATTTTATAGACCAAACAACTAATCCATTAATCAATAAAACAGTTGAAGCCCCAATGGATACAAACACGGATATGCAGTAGGCTTTACAGAGCGCAGAGAATTCTGGTCAGTGTTTGGAATCATCCTTGAGGTTGACTGGCTGAATGGGATAGAGATTGATAAACAATGAATATCACATTTTGATAACCATTGGCAGCAATCCTAGAAAGGCCAGTTAGTTAATGACATTAATGACAATTGATTAATACATAATGAGGGTTATAGCTGTAAGAACTATTACCCCTCAAGATGTCTTTTAATCCCTGATTAACAAGATTCAGGTCTCTCACTGGCAACACTCAGTGATGAGAGATAATCTATTTAAACTTTAGGCTGTAAGAGTTTTAATGTTTAATTTATATAAAGTATTTTCTTGATTGCTTTGATTATTTCCTATGAAACCCCAATATGTATAAAGAATTACACATACAACTAATATAAATATAAATACACAAAAGTGACATTATATCATTGATTCAATAAAGTATTATTTCTTATAGTTTATTTTACAAAAAGTGCTTTTCATAATTATTTCATAGTAGCCTTATTCCCAAAGAAAATAGATGTGTCACCTGGGCCCACCCACTCACCTTTCAGCCAATCACTTTGCAGCCTCCTCAACAATTTAGCTGTAGTTAAACACATTACAAAGCAGTAAAATAAATTGTCTTTTTTAATTAAGCCTAACAGTTAGCTATGAATGCTACCTAACTAGCCAGCTCACTAGCTAGGTTGGCATAGATTTATCACTCAGCATTAAACTGAAGAGCGTGATAGCAGTGGCAGCTAGCTAGACGGTCAATTCAGGTTTACCTTTGCAGCGCCGTGAACGAGTTTTCCAGAGTAAGACAAACAACTCTGTGAAGAGCAAAAACACACAAAGACTATCCGAAACCACTCCCTCTTTCACTCATTCACTAGTCTCTTTTTGAGAATGAGTTTGGACACAGCCATAGTATTTGTGTGGTTGTTGTAGCTCATGTTTGACAAGCTAGCTGCATGGTAGTTGGTTGTTGCGCTGGGAGGCTCAGGACACGTGTGATTGGCTGAATGAGCGGTCCCTGATGACGAAATCACTGTAAAAACTGAAAACCATATCAAACCAACTAAAAATAACTATTTTAATAAAACATGTAATTGTTTATAATACTTTGTGATTATATATGTTCTTTGTGTATTAACATTATTATTTAGGCTATTTGGTTACGTTTTACTTATTTAGGTTCTATTGAATACTTTTATGGCAGTTCATTTTTGCTTGCATTTGTTATATAAAAGTGGTACTCGCGAATACAAATCTATTTTTCAAGGACATTGTTTAGCCATCCAAGTCAGATAACACAGTGTATGCAACAAATAAATGCATTTACATTGGCATGTTGCAATTTAGATCCATTTGCAGAAGGCTCCAGTCAGAGGCATCTGCATTTATAAAGCTCTTTTACCTAGCTCTGTAATGGAGACATAAGTCTGAGGACCAAATGGGGGTCAGACAACCTGACTTTGTTATTTCCTTCTGATATACTAATGACAATCTGGATATGATGGCTCCAAATCCTCCTGCCGGATAAAACATTAAAAGGTACACCAACATCCAAAGACTTATTCCTAAAAAACTACCTCGGATTGCATCATTAGAACGGCTTTTTATGTGTCAAAGCAATAACCTGGAACGCTGTGTTCCCACACGTCTGCCTTGCCTGACAGAATAAGTAATTATTTATTTGGAGATTGTTTAACTCTAGCCCTTTGCAGAAAAATAATGGTTGTATTATGTTGGGGGAAGAAAGAAGATTTGATGCTTTTGATAAATGTGTTTTCAGGGCAATATTTCTGTAATGATGTGAGGACATTGAGCGAACAGAGCCATATATCAAACAGTGTCGTGCAGTGTCTCTCTCCTCGGAGCTGCGATCACCTCTCATGGCTGTGATAGGATTTGGGACGGTGTTTTTGTAGGCCGGGGTTGAAGCTCAAGCTGTATATGTAACAATGATATATGATTCACCCACTCATCTGAATGGCTGCTACTTGTCAATGTCAACGCTTATGCAACACAGTTCAGCTGTTTTTCATAGATGCAGCCAGGATTTTTAACCCTTTTAGTCCCATATTGCACTCCCTAATATGACAAATGTGCTCATGAAGGCACAAATGAATGGGTTTTTGGAGGGAGCAGGTGGGGTCATTACCCAAAAAATTGGCCCTCGAGGAACAAAAGTGCAGCGTCTGCTCTATGCATGCTTCTATGTAAGTTTTGTGTGTATGAGACCTTTGTGTCTGCTTCTCACTGAAACGTCACCCTGATGAAAGGAGACCCAGTGGGGGGCAATTTGCCTGAGAGAGAAAAGAAGGGGGTGTGGGGGTGTTGAGGGAGAAAGACAGCGAGAATAAGCGGTTTATAGTCTGGGGGGCTGTAGCTGTCTCCAGGTTTCATGGGGTTAAAAACTTCAGCACTGTTCAAAGATGCACTTGAAAGGACATTCCATTATTTATTCATCAATGCTGAATCTCATAGAGAGGAGTCGAGCTGCTCAATATGCTCTCAATTACCTGTCTGGCTAGGTAGTGCATGCATCTGCTTACATAAATGGGCTAAAAAGGGGGGGGGGGTTTGTATTCCAAAAGCAGGATAATTGTTGAAATGTTTACTTCTGGTTGTCATTTGGTAAGCAATGACTACTCAAGACAACACAACATCTGTGCATTGAAGAAGTGACAATCACAGGAACACTTAGAAGGAGAGCGTAAACCACATCCAGTCGACAACAGCCAGGGGATATGAAAGTGATAACAACCGCTGCGTCGCTGTTCCTCCTGATGTCTGTAATAACTCAAGATGATGCTTGAAAGCAGGTTTGCCATCCAACATTCACCACAGGGGGGGGGCTCCTCAGTGTGTGGAATGTGCCAGAGTTACACAGGAGCTGTGGTACACTGCCCTCCTCTGGAGGGACACAGTTATCATTGATAGAGGACACACATTTATGTTTCCTGTCAGCAGAAGACTGTTGTTCTATAATCACTGGTGGACAGTTATGTTTTACTTAAGTACAAGCAATAACAAAGAGTAGAAATATCATGTTATAAGTAAAAGTCCATCCACTCAAAATCATACTTCTGGGAAAGTATTAGCATCAACAAATTCTTAAAGTACCAAAAACAAGAGAACTAAAGTAGCACAATGGCCTATTTCTTAAAAATATATTTGAGTGTTTTTGGATTTTAGTGATTGGTTCATTAGTGTGTTCATCACTTCGGTTTTGTAGCTGCTTGTAAAGGAGGATTCTATTGATTTATGTAATATCTAAAGTGGCAGGGTAGCTTGTGAAGTTTGTATTTATTTATATAAGATGGTACAATGTGTTAAGAGCACTTGAGCCCATCATGCAAATGTGCCAGATTTAGAGGCAAATTGTTATCGGCCGACCCTGGCAGGTTGATGGCATACAAATAAATCAAGGGATTAATAAAGTTTATCCTAACATAATAATATGTACTGTATGTTCTACAGAGGCACCATCGAGAGCATCCTCAGCAGCTGCATCACTGTGTGGTTTGGTAGCTGCACCGCGTCCAACTGTAAGACCCTGCAGCGTGGACATTTAAGCGGACATTTAAAACACCTGCCTCACCCGCAAAGCACCCAGCATTGTGGGTGACCCCTCCCATCCCTCCAACTGCCTCTTCAGCCTCCTGAGGTTCCGCAGCCTCCAGTCGATTTCCTCCAGACTCAAAAACTGTTTATTCCACCAGGCTGTTAGGATGCTGAACTCTCTCCCCTCCCTCCCACCTCTCCCCCCTACCCCAACTGGGCCTGGATTTTAGCACCCACACATACACACAGAGACAGACACACACATCTAGCACAATACACGTTTCTACTACCCTGCTACAGTCATTTGCCCTATTGTACATATTTCTACTGTTGTAATATATTCATCCTCATCGGTTTTGAAGTGACTGTTATTTTGTATATATTGACTGTTGTGCCTTTTATGTATGCCTCTTAATGTGTGCATATGCAGTATACAGTATGCGTCTATATCTGATTATGTATGTGTATATTATTGTGGATTGTGAGAAACATTCTGTATCTGTATCACACAGAAGATTGACAATAAAGTTGACTTTGATTTTGACATGATTTCTTTTTTGGATAGTATTTTGTGCTATTTATTTAAATCATTAAGGAACCAGTATAAGATAAATGTAGATACAAAAAAAGTACAATATTTGTAATAATTGTTCTACAGTAAAAAAGTGTTTCAGTGACTCTTTAATGATCTGAGGGTATTTTGGGGATTTATTTATTCATGCTTGTCTTACTGTATTTTCAGTTTAAGATGACCATAGAACACATTATCTTAAATTGTCTTTATTTTACATTCACTCTCTTTTTTCCCCCCATTGTACCGTTATTATGTTAAATACGCCTTTCACCATTTGTCATCTTTAGTTGTTGTGGTGCAAACTAGCTGTCAAGCTAACCCCCGGCACATTTACTTTGACGTTGTTAGCGTCA